AAAAAACCGTCTATTTCTTTAAAGCAGCAATCATGACGCTGACAGTGTCCATGGAGGACATGGACCTGTTCCCAAAAGATGCACGTCTGAATACTGAACCACAATCGACCCATGTTGACATTGATAGCTTCACACAGGTAATTTCCGAGCTATGGACATTGGTCTCATGATAGGTAAAATGAGTTGTGTGAGCACATCTGTACGTTTTTCAGATGTGCGCTGCTCTAGATCGTCTATGGTGGTCTCGCCTAGTGATTTCAGTTCGAGGCTATGTGGTAAACTATGTACAAAACGATGACGAAATACTATTCCACACAGACGATGCCTTCATCAGCATTCATCGATTTCTCGCTGAAGAAGCTGCTGATAGACGTCTCGGGGAACAGGGAATAGTTTATTTCCACAACTGTAGACGTCACTTATGCTTCCCAACTTTTAGTTTGTAGCCGATCTCGATGCGATCGTCACCTATCCCTTGCTGAACGAAACACTTCTGGCGTTGACTTCTTCGCGACAAACGAAAAATCCATTTTATGACAAACAAGTGGAGTCGTCATTCACACGAGTTTTCGGAAAGCCGAATGACGCGACCTATCGGGTTGCAAACGGTCAGCCTTGTGGGCCTGTATGCACGTAGGTCCCGCTGGTGGGGACAGTGATGAAATAAGGCTATGCATCACTCCACATGCACGTTTTCCTTTGAAAGTCCGTTTCAAGAGGCTTTGCAACCCTCCATAGCATAATGAGCGAAGCTGTACTGCTGTATGAGCTGAGAATCCTATTGCTTTGTAGAGCCCGTTACAGTAACATCCCTGCGGCGATGGGAGCGGTGTCCCCATTATGAAGGGGCTGTGGACGCCGCTGTGGCTTCTTCATCATTGGCAACGCCACCCGTCTCGCCAGGGATGTTACTGCATACGGGCGTGGCCGCATGCATTAACATCCGCGCTGTGGAGGGGATCTCAGCTTCAAATGAAGCTTCATAACCTGAAGCACCAGATAGCTGGATTTCATGCTCTCTACCTATCCGTAAGTACTTCTACCATCCTTTGCTATGGACATATTAAACAGGAGCGAGAAGCTGTACAAGCC